CTTCGTCCGCCCGCCGCCCCCGGAGCCCCGCGGAGCCCTTTATCTGGCCGCGCCGTGGTTGCTCGCCCCTGTAGTTCTCCACTCCCCGACACACCCTCGAGGCCCCGTCAGTGTTTGATTTCTCTGAGCACACTTCCTCGGACATTGCAAATACACAATAAATTGGGTGAGAGAATGAGAGCTGCTTCCAGATTACTTTTTCGGGGTCATTTGTAAGTGAAAAGAGAAGAGAAAGGATATATATATTCAGTTAATTATGCCGGAAGCGTTCAGAGAAGGGGGAAAGGACAATTTTGTAGTAAACGTGTAAGAAACCCAAAGTGAATGTTATAAAGTGAACATTAATTTCTTTGAACGTAATTATAGGGTCCAAAATGAATCCCATCATTTTATACTCAGTTTAAGTGTGTGTGTGTGTGTGTGTGTGTGTGTGTCTGTGTGTACATCCGGCTATTCCCCCCCACACCCAGTAGCAGGTATCGAACTCAGGACCTTGAACTTACAAGGCAGTGAAGGCGCCACTGAGCTCATTCCTGGCCCCATGCTACTTTATAGAATTTATACCTTTTATAAACCCACCTTCACTTCCCAGTCCAACCCAAACCCTTCTGTTCTAGCTATAGATTTTAAGAAAACTTACTGAGTCTTAAAAATACAATTTGTTATTGTAATTTGGTAAAACCAAGAGCTATTTTTTAAGCATGGGAACTTTCTGGTGCTAAATCATACTTCAAACGGTGTACATGCTGCAGACTGCTATCTGCAACCATGTGATCTGTTTCCTCATATGTAAGAAGCTTCCTTAGCCAGATAATAATGAAGCTGTATTTAATGAGTCCAAAACTTTGATTTCAAAAAGGGCCCTTGCAATATTTTTCAACATAATCGTTTATAAAGTGGACAGTATAATTTCAGTCTAAGCACTTCTTTTTTCCTAATTCTCTTTATTATCTTAGTCCAAATATCCCTGCAATGTATCCTCCCACTTCACTCCCATCTTGTCCTCCTTTCTCCTATCCTTTGATGTGCTTGCGTTTTCTTTTAAAAAACACTGCAGTATGGTGGTGCATGACTATAATCCTAGCACTTTGGAGGCTGAGGCAGGAGGATTGCTGTGAGTTTGAGGCCAGTCTGGGCTACATTGTGAGTTCAAGTTCAGCCTGAACTATGCAGTGAGACCCTGTCTCAAAACAAATAAAATTAAAACACTGCAGTAGATCAAAGTTGTAATATAAAATACAATTTAGAGCCCAGCGTAGTGGCTCATGCCTGTAATTCCAGCACTCAGGAGGCTGAGGCAGGAGGATCAGTGTGAGTTCGAGGCCAGCCTGCACTACATAGTTCAAGTTCAGCCTGGGCTACATAGCGAGACCCTATGTCAAAGACAAAAACAAAAAAACCGAAAAGAACTAGGCTCAGACTCTGAAGTTGACAGCCACACACGGATTCCAGAGCCCAGTCTCCATGTTGCCTGTAATGTCTGTGTCTGAGTCACCTTTGTGTCCTCCTCAGGGTCTATAAGGTGCTTTCCCCAGAACGGACACAGACTGACTTGCTGGGGCTGCTTGGGCAGAGGGAAGCCTTTGTTGTACCATTCAGCTGAGCTATGTTCTCTATCACAAGCTCAGCGTCACTTTGCCCTCAGGAGAACACTATTCAGATTTTTACTAGGTCTCTTTCCTGGCACCTTCTCAATTCAGCTCCAGCTTATTTATCTTTACCAAATGCCTATAACAGTGCAGAGCCAGAGACCAGGCATTAAAATAGTTGCCTCTAAAGGATAGCTGATACAGCCTCTGCCTGTCCCATGCTGATCTTTAAAATCAGTCCCACCAACAATCCATTTAGTAGCTTTCAGTTTAAATAAGAAGATATTGATGGTGGGAAAGCTCTCAGGATGCAGAGCACCGATATTGGGATCCAAATACATAGCAAAAACATGGGCACAGGGCCAGGGGTTTGGCCCAGCAGTTCCACCGCCTGCCTGGCAAGCACAAGGTCCTGAGTTCGATCCCCAGTGCCACCACCAAAAAAAAGGAGGGGTGTACAGAACATTTATTTGGCAAAGACTTATCTGGTACCTCTTTTGTACCAGGCCCTCTGCCAAGCCATAGGGATGCAACAATGAATGGGGCTCTTTTGAGTCCTAAAAGAGATCCAACCCTGTTCTCTTTGCTATTTATCAAAGAAAGAAGCCAATATCTGGTGGGGGGTTCTTTCCTTTATTCTTCCCTAAGAGTCAGTACCATCTGTAGATTTACAAAATCAACCTGCTCGGGCCGGGGATTTAGCTCAGTGGTGCTGAGCCTGCCCCTGAGCTAAGCACAAGGTCCTGAGTTCGATCCCTGGTACAAAAAAAAAAAAAAAAAAAAAAAAAAAAAGGAGGGCCTCCCAAATTCAATGAAATTTTGTCACCTGAGAGTCTATTTGGGGAGCCAAAATCAACAGAACTATTAAGTAAACATCGCCTGCCTAGTTTGTCAGTATAAGTGGAGCAGAAAGGACTTTCTACATGTAATTGTAGACAGGAAGCCAAGAAGTGACTGAAAGGACGTCCAGGTTTGGAGGACAAGCAAGTTGCAGCATAAAGATTTCTATTGGCCCCGCAGGGGCCCGGGAGGCTCACAGCCCGAAGCTTTGCTATGAGCCTGGTAGGACTAACTGGCCTCGGGCTGGGTCACTTGGCCCTTGGCATGTCTGCTCCAAACGAAAGCTGGCTGAGTTCTTCCTCAAGCTCCTGTATGAATTCAAAGGGTCCGTGCTCAGTGCTTGTAGGTCCTTCCACCGGTGGCTTATTTGAGTCAGAAGAAGCAGGCTCTTGGAACCTGCTGAAAGAGTAGAGTGGACCCCTCCAGTGTTTGAGTGAGCTTCGGGGCTCTGATCAAGTCACTAAACTGCCCTCGAAACACACACCCCTCCATAAACCCAGTGTCTGTTTCCTGGGGTAGCATCTGGGGCCTGTTCTGTGTGCTCGCACATTCCAGAGACGTGCAGATCTATTGTCAGCCATGACAGGCATTTTGGTCTTAACTGCTCGACAGTCCCAGGAAGTCAGGATGAAACTCCCACACCTCCTGTGACTCTGACCCAGGACTTCAATCTTGGAGAACTGCAGAGGATTCTGATGCCAACACCATCCCGGGATCGGAATCTTGGGGGCGTGGGTGTGTGGGATGCCAAGCCAGCCAATTCCAGCCTCCAGCTGTAGTTGCTGACTGGCGCCCGGAGTTTCTCCAGGGACAGTTCCCCATGGAGCTGTGTGAGAAGGAACGCTGTTTTGTCCTAGGTAGCGCTCAAACTACGAAGAGAGAAACTAGCTCCTGATTGCCCAGGGGTGGTTTAGTTTGGCTTTTGAAAGTGTTGGTGGCACAGGTGAACTCCCCAGCTTGCCACCAGGCTCCTCGCTAATCCATTGGCTGCAGCTGTTCATCTCCTGACCCGCTTCGGTATCGGAGCATCGAGCCAGAGCCTGGCGAACCCAGAGATGGGCGGCAACCTTGCAAAAAACTGACAAAGGCTGAGACTGGCAGCTGGGTTGATAGAGGAATTCTGGAATACCAAGAAAAAGGAATACAGGACCATCTTCTAATGTGTAAGACCGTGATAATCCCTGTCTCTCAAACTACTAACACCCTCTCTGTGAGGAAAAGATATCCAATCCCCAACTCAGAAATAACGGGAACAGGATTGTCCGGTATGGTGTACTCCTGTAATCCCAGCACTTGAGAGGCTGAGGCAGGAGGATCACCACATATTTGAGGCCAGCCTGGTCTACATAGTGAGACCCCTGTTTCAAAAAAAAAAGAGAACGGGGATTGGGTGTGGATCTGTGGTAGAGTGCTTGCCTAGCAAGTGCAAGTCCCTGGGTGCTCCCCCTAGCAAAGAAAGAGAGGATGGGAGGGCAGGAGGATAGAAAAAAGGAAAAGAAAGAAAGAATGGGTAGCTCTAAAGAGAATCCAGTAAGATATGAAGTTACTCGAGTTCCCGTACAATGTTTGCCTAACAATTTCTGAAACATGTTTATCACTTTCTACTTTGTAGGGTAATCGCTCCTAGACTTTTTTTTTTTTTTTTTTCAGTATGGGGATTTAACCCAGGTCCTTTCACACTGTGCTACCTCCCTAACTCTTTTTGTATTTTTAAATCTTGAGATAAGGTCCAGGTTGCTAAATTGCCCAGGTTAGTCTTGAATTTAAGCTCTTCCTGCCTCGGCCTCCCAGAGTGATGCAATTGCACGTGTAGACCACCATGCCCAGCTAGCGCCTGGAATTTTTTCTCTATTCTAACCCTATACCATCCAAGTGCTTTCACGTTTATTATTTCATTTTGTTCTACCAGCAGCACCACAACACTGATATCCTTGTTTCTTTACTTAACCGGCAACCCATGCTATTTGGATCCCCCCCTCTTGT